TTGCGGGTACGTCCGTCGCACAGGTTAGCCTGGAGTGACTTGCACTCGCACCGGCCATACGAACTCTTGCTGCTTCTTTTGCCTCGACGATCTGTATCGTGCGGAGCATGGTGAGAAGATGACGACTCCTAACTGGTTAGCCTTGCTTGAGAAGGATATCGATGTGTTTGCTTGTGACTGGGCAGTGATCCATGCTGGCATGTATGCGATGTATGCTGCTTCTGCTAGTGTTGAGGATGACTATTACTCGTGTATGCCTAGAGTTGCTAGGGTAGAGGCTACTAGTCTTGGTGTTTGTGACTCAGCTAGCACAGGTGCAGAGCCTGAGGACGCCTTGCACACTTTCACTCTAAACTCAGTGGCGTCTTGCTGTTTCTTTCGCGACAGCACCACACTTACACCGCTCACAGCCCCTATCCCTGTCACACTAGCCGACCCCTCCGGTCGCCGGGTAGTGGCGCGTGGATCTACTGTTCTCCCATGTCTGGTGGCCCCTTCTAGCCTTCTCACAGGTCTCCACCTCCACTCAAAGGCCCGGGTTTGGCCTATACACACTGACCACTTAGTCTGCACAGGTGGCTGAGTCAGGTCAGGTAGCTTCGTCGTTTGAGGTCACTGCGTCTTGTTCGTGTCGTCTCCTCATGCACCAGACACTCCTCTGGCACCACCGTCTTGGTCACCCCTCCTTGCTACGTCTGCGTGTCATGCAATTCCATCTCCTTGTGTCTGGTCACCCTAGGTCCCTGCCCCCGCTCCCGAGGTCGCTTGCACCGCCATGCCTTGCCTGCGTCAAGGGGCGACAGCGCGCCGCTCCTCACTCCTCCTCGTTTCCTCCTACCACATCTCTTCCGCAGAACCTCCACATGGACCTATGGGGCCCCGCCCGCGTCTTTGGACAGGGTGGCGAGCGCTACTTTCTGCTAGTTGTTGACGACTACACACGCTACACTACGGCCTTTCCCTTGCAGGGCAAGGCAGAGGTCCCTAGTATCTTGATCCGCTAGATCCGCGCTGTCTGTATCGAGCTTAGCGCTCGATTCCGGCAGGACCTCCCGGTCCTGCGGCTGCACTCTGACCGAGGTGGTGAGTTTTCCTCCCGCCTTCTCGAGAACTTCTGTGGTGCTGAGGGCATCCGCCAATTGTTCATACTTCCGGCCTCTCCACAGCAGAATGGGAGTGCAGAGCGCCACATCGGCTTGGTCATGGAGGTTACTCGCACCTCCATGGTCTATGCGGCTGCTCCCCATTTTCTGTGGCTGTTTGCGGTCCGGTACGCCACACACCAGGTCAACCTCTGGCCCCATGTCTCCATGCCAGAGACCTTGCCTACACTGCGTTGGACGGGGAAGGTTGGCAATGTGTCGGAGTTCCGGGTCTGGGGTTCCTTCTCTCTTGTCCGCGATCCGCCCGCGGGCAAGTTCTCTTTGCGCACTCTTCGGTGCGTGTTCCTTGACTTTCCCACAGACGCACCGCCCTGGCAGTTTTACCACCCGGGCTCCTGTCGTGTGCTGTCCTCCCACGACGTCACTTTTGACAAGTCCGTCTGCTTCTACCGTCTTCACCCCCATCGCAGTTCCCCAGTACCCCTCCCGCCTCTCTCCCTGGTTCTCGACCCCCCCTCCCCCCCCTTCCGGTAGCACCCCTCCCTCCTCATGGTTTTGCTCCCTCAAGTGTGTCCCAGGTTGACCACCCCCCTTGGTTTAGCCGTTTGAGGTTTCCTCCGACACCTCTGGCCCGGCTGAGGGGGGTGACCCAGCTGCTGACGACGCGGCGGCCACTCGCCGCTCATCGCGCTTGGAGACCCCTCCGGGGTTTCTGCCTCGACCGTCTTCACCGCCTCTGCAACCCTGGTGCTGCAGGAGGTGGCGACACTGGGGGTGCTGACTCTGGGGGTGCTGGTTCTGGGGGTGCTGAGAGTCCTACTAGTGGTCGGGTTGCGGGTACCCCTCCTGGAGCCTCTAGGAGTGAACGTCAGTGGCAACTGAGTCGCCAAGAGACCCTCTCGCCGCAGGAGCTTCGTGCGTGGGCTGTCCACTGGGGCAGCCCCGGTGGTGGAGCTGGAGGTGCTGGAGCTGGGGGTACTGGAGTTGGAGGTACTGGAGGCACTGGTACTGGAGGTACTGACACCGGAGGTACTACTGGAGGTACTGGAGTTGGAGGTGCTGGAGGCACTGCTACTGAAGGTACTGACACTAGAGGTGCTACTGGAGGCACTGGAGTTGGAGGTGCTGGAGGCACTACTACTGGAGGTACTGACACTGGAGGTGCTACTGGAGGTACCGGAGTTGGAGGTGCTGGAGGTACTGGTGCTAGAGGTACTAGCACTAGAGTTGTTGGTGCTGGAGGTACTACTGGAGGTGCTGGAGTTGGTGGTGCTAGTCGGCAGGAGTCGCTCTCGCTGTAGCATCCTCGCGCTTGGGCTGTCTAGTGGGCAGCCTCGGTGGTGGAGCTGGAGGTACTGGTGCTGGGGGTGTTGTTACTACTAGAGTAAAGGTTCTGGGGGTGCGACTACTCAGCAGCAGCCGTCTGCGCTTCGTCACCTTCTCAGTCTCCCTCCCGCTGTTTCTAAGTCCTCTATTGCTAGCACAACTCCTCCGTTACTGTTTCCAACGCTTGACTAGTCTGAGCCACAGTTACTGCCTCACTCCCCACTCCCTGCCCCTGCTCCTTACACTGCGTTGACAGAATCCCTCACTTAGAGTATAGAGCCTGAGTCGTGTCCTATCACGCCTGTCCGTACTCGTCGTGTTGCCCGTCCTAGTCCTCCACATGTCCCAGGCACGCACATCATGGCACTTCTTCCTTCCTCTGTTCCACAGCGTGTTGTCCTGCCATCGCCTCCTGTGTCCTCTGATCCTCACGTTCCTAACCCTGAGTCTGACCGTGCTCGTGCTGTCAGTTCGACTGTTACTCATCTTCTTGCTACGGTTGTGACTGACCCTTCCTTTGAGTGTGTTGCTGTGTCTGCCTTAGTTGCTGAGCTTGTTGACTTTGCTGCTCTGTGCCGCCTTGACTACGCTGCGAGTCTTTGTTTTTTACTCTGCCTGTCTCCCGTCCTTCGGGGGTAAGCTTGCTCTTGGTTGTGACGTACTTGAGGACAAGCAATTTGAGCTGGAGTACCTAGCGGCCGCTGCACCTCATCTCACGTCCACGCTACTTTGCCTGAGGGAGACCCGGATGCATTTGCCATCCCGACCCCACGTCGGCCACCGACGACGCAGCAGTCCCCCTTCTATCTGAACTACGGGCAAAACCCTATAGTGCCCATGACGCCGAGTCCGGACAACCCAACACCACGTGCACAGCAATTCGCCGAAATTCTGCAAGCTGCCCGTACCAGAGCCGCAGAGGCAATTAAAAAGTCCAATGTCATCGCTAAGCGCAACGCTGACCGCCACCGTTGCCCAGTCACGTACCAGTCAGGAGACTACGTACTGCTCGACACACAATTGTCCGTCGTACCGAAATTACGACCGCGCTACTGTGGACCCTTCCAAATCAGCCACATGATTACCCCAATGATAGCCCACCTACTGTTGCCGACGGACTGGTACATCAGCCCTTCGTTCCACGTCAGCATGCTTCACCTATACATCCCAACCACAAGCCAACTGCCTCGTCACCGCCCGCCACCCATGACTCGCCCTGCATCAGAGCCGATCATTTAGCCCGAAAAAATCCTGAGCCATCGGATTCGACACCCCACGAGAATCAAGAGGATTGAATTCCTCGTTCGCTGGAAGGACCGCACGCCAACTGGGGATAGTTGGGTGCCCCTGGCCAACATCGAGAACCACCCCGCCCTGCAAATGTACCCGAGGAGCCGGGGTTTCCGCGATATACACGCACTCGCGTAGCGGAGGGGGCTTCTTGAGGGGGGGGGGGGGGTAGTGTAAGGAATTTTCTCTATATTCCTTAGCGCGCCCTGCAACATCGCGTACAGCAGCAGCCGTTGTTCACCCGTTACTGCTAACGGGGCTTCGCCGACTTCGTGCGCACTGTTTTCACCAAACCTCGCACTGCTGGCCCAGCCGTGTCGGCCTACGCTTCGGGACTATCCCGAACCTCGCTGCCAGCGTAGCACTAGCTAGCTCGCACGCACCGCGTTACCGTTTGCATGTTTCGCGTATAAATGTTCGCTCATGCCTTAGCTCACATCTTGTACTCGTTTGACACCTTAGTGCAATTCTCGCTACTTCGATTGATTGCACCCGTAACACCGGGCAACACTGCACTTCTCGTGGAACGATGTGGGAGATGCTTGAGGGGAGGGCAATGGCACTGAAATTCGCGAAAGATGAGGCCTGACTGGCTTGTGTGCATGACTTCCTGCCACCGCAGGAAAAGAATCGTCAACTTCTTGATCATCTCTCGTCAAAGTAGCAGCTGCAACAAAGCTGTCACTGCCTGTCTCCCAGCTCTTTGCCGCCTTGACTTAGTCCAAATTCGGAGATTGTTGGTCAAATCTTGTAGTAGTCCCTAAAAAATGACCGAATGTCATATATGTCTGTTTTCTTGGTGGAAGACGCTCAAGAGGTCCGATCGCAATGAAGTTATTCGTTGATAAGCCAGTTACATTCATATTCGTCACTCCAGTCTGGAGAGCACAGCGCAGCATGCGGCGAACATATCGACAAATCATGCGCAGCGGCGAATGGTGTAGGCTTTGCTGGTTCCGCTCAATCTCCACCCTACCTACTACTCGTCTCTGGAGTCATCGCGACCATAAACTCGTTCATTTGTACTATCATTTATCACTCGTTCTTTCGCCAGCTGAACTCACCTCCTAACAAACCTCTCTCGAGTGCATTTTCTTCTCCATTGGAGATTAGTTGGAGGGCCGCGTGCTTTTCTTTCTTCCGCTGCCAGCGGTATACAGCATCTCATACACTATCCTAAGTGCCCGCGACGCCGAATTTGCATCTCTAACAAGCAAGCTGCTGCGATTTACTGGTTACGGTATCTCTAACAGGACCTGTTGCATTATCTATAACGCCGCCATGACATCGATTACGCATGCTGCTCTCTCTGCCGCTCTCCTAGTGTGCTTCGCCGCGCTTCTCGCTCCCCCTGGGGCATCTGTCTGCGCACAAAACGCTTTCCTCGTAGCGAAAGCCAAGGCTCTTCACGCCTCGGCGAATCAAGCTGCGGTGGACCTGAAAGCGGCGCAAGAGGACGCCGCCAAACAGGCGGCTGAGGTCGCCGCCGCCACGCAAACTCTGTCCGATCTGCAGGGCCCGGACCTAGCTCTCAACGACCGCATTTCAATAATCTCCGATATGAATAACAGCGTCGCCGATGCGCAGTACGATCTCGACATCGCAAACAATATCCTCGTTCTCCGGATCGCGGATCTCGCGGCGTTTCAGGCAGATCCGTCAACGCACCCGCAAATCCCAGAGGCAAGGAAGGCGGTCAACGACGCGACGCGAAGCGCGCGCATGACTTCAATGCTGCTAGAGGAATGGGGGCTCGTCGTGCAAGAGGCCGCGGACGCGGAACGTGACGCGGAAAGGGCCGTTAGGGCCAACCCGACTTCGCTGATGGCGCAGGCTGCGCTCGTGGAAGCGCAATATTACCGCCAATCTGTGGAGGAGGTGCTCCCGGATATTGTGGCGCAAGATCAGCGCGCGCAGGCACGGCTGGATCGCGTTCAGAAGGAATTGTTTGCTCTAGTTTCGCAGGGTCCGCAGGAAGAGATCATTTTCCAAAGGCAGTGGACGATGCAAGAGGCGCGGTGAATGCTACGCGCCTGGTGTACGAAAACGCGGTTGCGGTAGTCGCTGACGCGCAGAAGGCCCTTAACGATTACCTCGCGAGTAAGGCAAATGCGATTACTGACACGAGGGTGCGATTAACGAAGGCGAAGCAGAGCCAGGCTATCGCAGACAAGAAGGTGATTCAGCTCACGGATAAGCTCAAGGTTGCACTGGTGCAAGCTGACAATGCAGAAAAGGCTGCCGGAATCAACAAGACTACCTAAACTTGCATCGCCAGAGGGCTCAATCTGTGACAAACCGGCGCGTGTATAGTGGATCTAAAAAAAGGAGGGGGTGTTGTGAATGGCATGGTCAAATGGCGTTCGTCGTAAGTTGCTGTCTATACCCTTTGCCAGCGATTGGGGGCAAGGTGGAAAGGGCATTGTCATATAGAGTTCTATTTTTTTCCACCCTACTTAAATGCAAAGAACTGTAAATAAGCCGCTCTCACATGCACAACATCTCATTCCACCGAAATTGAGCCTTGTACCCTGTTTGCCAAATCTGCGCGCAAGAAATTGTGCTAGAATATCTCCTGGAATGGGCTAGCGCTTGATCGACGGTTGAAAACTACAAGCGAGTCAACCAACAGCGAGGATCTTGCTTATGACACGTTCAGTTTGACACGTCGCATCTCCTTTGGAGAACGTTATTTCGTGGTTGTCGTTGGACGTTCGATCCTCGAGGATCTACTGCCCACAGTTTTGGACGCGGTTCGATTTCCAGGTCTGAGTTTGTTTTAGGAGGTCCACTTTCCAGTTTTTGCATGTTTGCATTACGCTCATGAAACTTCCATGCGACGGACTTTACCGCGTACGACCACACCCAAACCTATTTTCCCTGCAGCCCTCGTGCTATCAGTTAGTACGAACGCGCTTCCCCGAATTCCTCCCCTGTACCTCCCTGTTCCATTCCGCCATGCGGCGAGCGGTAATCGCGGCGGGCCACGCCTGCAGCAGCCACACGCGCCGATGCCGAGACTTTGCAGATCCGCAGCTATTCGTTGAATCGTTTCAGAGGTTCTCCGCGTCGCGATCTCGCCACGTTTTCGCCGCGTCGAATCTGCACCAATGTCCTTCACAGCTGTACAGTGCGTCGCAATCTCGTCCAGGCCTAGAGTCTGTTGGTGCCACTGCGACGTTGCCGTTGGAGAGAAGTTCGCTAGCACTGTCTCACTCACCGTCGCACGCACCGGCACACGCACTATCTCCAGTCAAGCGGTCGTCGCTTGTCACAGCGCCGAGTCCGTCTGTTCATGTAGGATCCTCGTTATGGCCTCGCTCGCTGCACGCACAGGTGTTCTCCGCCGCCCGAGCTCACACATCAGGCCAACTCAACGTTAGTGCAGTTGCTAATACCGCGGATGTTACTGTCGCGGAAGCGAGTTCCCCCAGTGCCCCGCGGGAAGGGTTTGCGCTGTCGTTCCTGGGGCAATGGCGGAAGGAAAACGCGGCGGAGATCGGCTACCGCGTGGCGGAGCCCGCATCGGCGCGCTTCAGAGGGGGAGCGGCGGGGGGAGCAGCGCAGGACGGGGGGAGTGACGTCAGCGAAGCGGCGGGGGTGGAGATCAAGGAGCTAGACGCGTTCGCAGTGGTTCAGGTGAGTGGGTGTGAGACGGTGATGATGGGTGTCAGTCGGTCAGACGGCAATGATGGGTGTCAGACGGTGATGATGGGTGTCAGACGGTGATGATGGGTGTCAGACGGTGATGATGGGTGTCAGACGGTGATGATTTGTGTGGGATGATATGGGATGAGTCGATAGATGTGCCACAGATCGCTTTTAAGGAGTGGTTGCAACTTCCCCCGTTTTCCGAGCAATCGTGCAGGGGAGGAGTAGAATTGTTGCAGTGAAACCCATCATTCAAACTTCGCCTTCCTCCCCAATCTTTCCCTTCTCGCCCCCACCCCCTTTTCCCCCTTCCCCCCATCCCCCCTTCTGCTTTTCCCTCCCTCCCCTTCCCTCCCCTCTCTTCCTCCCCTCCCACCTCTTCCTCCCCTCCCACCCCTTTCCTCTCTCCCTCAGCCAATCATAGCAACGAACCACATTGCCTTTATCCACCAATAAGCACTCTGCCATCCGCTCCCTCTCGTGTCCCCTCCTCTACCTCGTCCTCCCTCCCCCCTTCCCCCCCTCCCCCCTCCCTCCTTCCCCCGCCCATCTTGTAGGCGCAGCATCGCTTTTCTTAAACCACATGTGTGCTGACGTGTCATATTGTTGTCCAATCAGGTGGGGTCGCACCAGTTCAAGGTAACGCCAGGAGACGCCATCTACGTGGAGAAGCTCAACTTCGCCCATGTCAACGACGTGGTGAGACTGGGTTGAATTCGGTGCTTGCAGGTTCAGTGCGGTGCCTGTGTTTACAGTCTGCTGCATATGGGTTTGCACATGGCATTGAGTGTGTTGCAGTGAGAGGGGATGTGGTGTGGTATGGTCAGGTTCAGTGCGCTGCACAGTGTGTTGTGTGGTAGAGGCTTGTAAAACCCGCGGGCCAAGAAGTTCAACTTTAGGAAGCTTGGTTGGGGCGAGCAATTCAATTGGTCAAGACTTTGGGTGCGAGGCCAACCAAACCCAACCGAGGTTAGGAAGGTTGAACCAATTTGGGCCTTCTTGGCCCTCCGGTTTTGTGAAAATAAACAGCTTCATCCCTGTTGATGGTTTGGTGGACATGGGTTCAGTGCGGTGCTGCACAATGTGGTGCAGTGCGGTGGACTGCATTGAATGTGGTCTACTGATGGGATTGCAAGTTTATGCTTGGGATCTCAGAAGGCATTTACCATCGCTGCAGTGGAGGGTGCTGCAGTGGAGGGTGCTGCATTGCACGATGCTACAGTGCATGATGAGGCAGTGCGTGTGTGAAAGATTTAGTTCTCATAAGTTCAGAGTAGTGTGCTAATATATTATTTTGGAGACGTCTCAAAAATAATATTTTTACACATGGAGATAATGTGGGAGACACGAGGAACATAGTATGTTCTAGTGTGCACTGTTACTCCAGTTAGGAACTCAGTAATTGCGAAGTTCACAATGTTTGAATTTCTTCACTCATGTGTCGCTCCGTGTCAACGTATCGCCTCGTCTCGGTCCATCTTCGAGCATCCCATCCGTCAGATTCATTTGGAGAAGGTACTTCTGATTGGCTCGCCTTCCGAATCTCTCATCGGTCGGCCCACTCTCCCAGGCGCCTTTGTTTCAGCCCTGGTGGAGGAGCATGTGAGTTTCACTCCCCTGCCTTAATTGCTATTCTTATTGACACTTTAAACCTGATTGGCTTTCTCATTGGTATTCTAGGCCTTATTGCCTCGCACGTTGTAGGACCAGTTTGATGTTTTTCTTGGTCTGGGTAGTTTCTGAGTGCATCGACATTGTGAACCCATTGCATGATTTGAGGTTCACTGCATTTGTATAGGATGTCTCATATTGGGTAGCCGATCCAATTCTTCACCGGTTTCTCTTTGGCCCGATGCCAAATGAAGCGTGTGCGAGAAAACGACGGCGAAGAACGTGCGCGTCTGAAAACATTGTTCCTTTCTTCTGTTCTAAAACCCTATGCTTCCAGGCCCTTGACGCCAAGGTGATAGTTTTCAAGAAGAAGAGGAGGAGAAAGAACGATTGTATGTCTTATGCAACTCTCAATATCATTCCTCCCCGCTGTTTCAAAACCTGATGCGTGTCGCCAGGCCCTTGATGCCAAGGTGATAGTGTTCAAGAAGAAGAGGAGAAAGAACTACCGCCGCACCAACGGTCACCGACAGGTGAGTGTGTTGAGTGGTGGCTGGTTGACTGGGATGATTTAAAATGGTAGTGTTAGTGTTAGAGAGACGAGGAGTCATTAGGGATGCACCAACGGTCACCGACAAGTGAGTGTGTCGAGTGATTGGCTGGGATGGCTACAATCAGGTGGTTGTTAGAGGTGCATGTTGTTTGTGACTGTGGTTGACAGAGAAACGCAAGTTGTTCATGACTGTGGTTGACAGAGAGACGCAAGTTGTTTGTGACTGTGGTTGACAGAGAGACGCAAGTTGTTCGTGACTGTGGTGGAGCAGGAAGTGTGCTGGTGGGGTGATGCAAGTGCTGCGATGCAAGTGCTGAAGTGCTGAAGCGCTGAAGTGCTGGCAATGTAGCCGAAGTGCAAATGTTGTTTTTAGCACAATTTCATCACTATCACCCTCTGCTCCCTCCCAGGCATCTGCATGTTCCAATACCTGGCGGTGCCAGCCACATCATCACTGTTCCACGCCGTAGCAACTACAGCGATGCCAGTGTCCAATCTATCTGCCAGCCGTCCTTGCTTCACCCCAGATTGTTTTATTTCTGCCTTTCACCTCTCTCACACCAACTTTGATTATCTGTGCGGTGGCTTCACATTGCCAGGAACTGACCCGGCTTCGGATTCTTGAGATAGCTGGCATGGATGCTGCGGAAGAGAGGGCAATTGAAGCAGTGGCATGACGGGATGAATATTTGCGGTGTGATTGGTGGGCGAGTGTGGTTTGACACCTCTTGGACTATTTCTCAACAGAGGTATTAGTGATGATGCTCAGGTTTCCATGGGTTTCAGAATCCTGAGCATGCATTTCAATCCCGTGTTTCATCCAAATCTGGGTGCCACGATTTACTCTAATGGCAGTGTCTGGCATAAAACGGCCTGTGTCGCAAACGGGAACAGCGCATGTGTGACACATGGTAAAAATATTGTCACCAAATCGTCCACACTGTCAGACAATCCGTAGGGGATGGGATTGGAATACTTGGTTATTAATGATGTAATTTGTGTACTTTAGGTTGACTGCAGTCAGTCTGCTGGTTTATCACAATTCGTTTTTGCTTTGGATTTAGCGAATTGGACATGCTGCCTCTTTTGTGATAAGACAATGGGCCTGTCCTTATCCTGTTCCAACGCTAGCCAAGAAACTGTCCAAACCACGTGATGGAGAGGATTCGATTGATGCACCCTTTTCCTCATCCACAAAAAGTCCAACAAATTGCCGTTCATGAGCTGTCCTCCACTCCACTCCACCTCCACTCCACCCCACCCGCTTTCCTCAAGCTTGTACTGCCCAACAGTTCGTTTCTTCGTGGCTCTGGTCGGTTCCGCACGGTGAGAAGCACTGCTTTAAGTCCACCGTTTTAAACCGCGACGCAACTTTTCAGACCGCAAAGAAAGTACAATAGACCTCACCCCCCAACGGTGATAAGTACTGATATATCCAGGCAACCAAAATCCTGTGGACGAAATTTATCCCAGGAATGCCAGCCAGCGAACTGACTGATGCTTTGGCGAGAAGAGAATCCTGGTCGCGAGGCTGTCGCATGCTCGCTTCGAACCACAGATCGTCTCGTCTCGTCTCAAGAGACTGATGATGCTTTCGAATGACACAACACAACACGAGCTCGTTTGACAACACCCCTTGCGAGCATCGTTTTCACACCCTTCCAGAACCTGACGCGGCCACAAAGGAGGAAACTTTGGAGTTATCGCGTCATGCAGTTCTTCAGTCAAAAGTTGGTAGTCGAAGAAACAAGTCTAGCATGCAATGACTGTGTCACTCAGCATGATGTACGACTACTCGCCAATGAAATCGCAGATTAAGAACGTCGAGTCTCTAATACCGTATCCCGTGGCACTCGCTTGGGCGGTAGTTTCGACGATGCTCCTCCTCTGCTCGATCACGCTCGTTGCCGTTCAGCTTCCCCAACGATGCGCGCCGTGCGACTGCGACTTAGCGCTAAGTCTTATCACAGGCGGAGGCGGAGGTGGCGCCGCAGCTCAGTCGTGCTCTGATTGGACATCAACCAGCAGAGTCACTCCGGTAGTGCAAAATGGCGGAGATAGCAGCTTGTCGCCGCGAGACAGTGTTGAGGATGTGTGGGCGTTTACTAAGGTACTAATCACCTCGAAACAGTTCCTGGCAGATTGCGCGGGTCGCGGAGTAAAAAAAATCTCGCGAAAATCATCGGATTACGGAAAGGTATTGCGCGAAATCATCGCTGCTGTCGTCCTTCCTAGGACAGTAATTTCGGGATCTTGAAAACCGTTCCGACGATTCGCGAACTAGGATCTTCCATACGCACCCAACCACTTTCCGTTCCGTTCCCCCCCCACCCCCCCCCCCCCCCCCCCCCCCCCCCCCACTTTCCCCTCTCCCCCCTTCTCCCTCCCCCCCGCATTTCTCCTCGCGTTTCCCACCCCTTCCCGCACGCCGTTTCGTGCCAAGACCTGATCCTTTCTCAAATGGTACCTCTCGGATGGACCCTCTCTCGACCTATCACGATATTATGCTATAGGACCCAGTACAAACATACTTCAACTGGACACCTATGCAACTCCAACGCACATGAAGCATTCAGCATACAACCATGCCATCCTCCTCGTCCCTTCCCCTGCGCTTTGCCTACACCCGCAATGCGCAGTGGACACCCCGCGTTTCCCCCTGCCTTGTAGCGGGGCTGCCTATAGAGGAGCTAGACGCGCACCTGAACTTCCGCCGCGGATGGACCCTGGGCTTCGTGGACGACGTGGAGGACAAGACGCAGATCTTACCGTTCCTACGAGCTAACATGGATCCCAGCTTGCACAGGAGGTGAGTAATGCGTTGTAATTCTGTTACGACTAGGACTAGATAACGATGTTGGTAGAAGGACTTTCTTCGTCCCCATATTCCCTCCTCCCTTTTTCAGTCCTCTCTCCGTTTTTTAATCTCCGCATTCTCAGGAATCGGGTTCGAAATCCGATATATCGACGTACGAAATATCGGGTTCTACGTCGAGAATTGATTTCGTACGACTTCCGCTAGGTTGCTCCCGCAACCTAGTTGTGTGATATAAACAGCCATTCTGTCTCTTATTTTCTTCGTTCCTAAAGTTTCCTAGCTAGCAGAACGTGGAGGATGCTATCAGATGTGGCAGCTAGAAAGTTACCGTAGGTTTGTGACAGTTGCGTTGCTGGGGTTCTCAAATAGACCCGTCGATTTCATAGGATTCCACGCTCCCCCATTCAAATGAATCAAACCCCTTTTCCCCCCTTTCGTTCCCCGAAATTCCGCGATTTCGCAGGAAGCGGAGGGTGCTTGTAGACCTCGGAGCGAATGAATTTGAGACAAGTGTCACCTGGTTCCTTCGAATGTACCCGCTCGATTTCACCGAGATTCATGCAGTGGAAGTGCAAACCGACCTGTTCCAGAAGCCATCTACACCGCCGCTTGAGGTGCGTAAATGTTTGCATACATACACACTTAGAGAAGAAATATGAGAACAGCACTGGAGGGGTTTGGGAAGGAGCGGGTGCTGAGGGCAGACTGAGGGAGTTACTGCATGGTAATTCACGCCGTCACATATTTCGCACTAGCATGTCCATGCTAGCACTCATACGCTCTACCTTGCATTATCTAGTAGTGTATGCACTTACGGTTCCGGGCATACACGCTTGGTATGGATGGGGCATACACTAGAAACCTGGGCAGGGCGTAAAAACTGCTGTGAGTGGGATGGGAAGAGAGAAGGGTAGAGTAAGGGGGAGGGGAGGAAAAGGGGGAGGGGAGAGAGGGGTAGGAGGGGAGGGGGGGAGGGTGGTGGGTGGGTTGGTAGGAATGAGTAACAGTAGCCTGAGTACAGAGATTGTAGCTCACTCCCGTATAATAAAAGAGTCCATCACTTCACCTATCTTTGAAGCCACAACACCTGAATGATTTGTCCATTCCACACATACCCTTCCCAACCTCATTACCATTTCTGTGCCGCTCTTAACCGTTTCAGGTACCGGCCTATGAGATCAACTCTCAATCTCGCCTGCGTCCGTTCGGCAGGGGCCCTGCAGGCTTCCCTGCATGGCTGATGGACCGCGTCCACCCCTACAACTTCTTCATCTCTTCTCAAGACAACCAAGAAGAGGTAACAACCGAAGAAGCTTAACATCTGTTACAGACAAGGTGACTTTTGAGCCTGACTCAAAAGTCCCTGCGTGGCTGATGCTACGCATTCACCCCTACAACTTCCTCATCTCTTCTCAAGACAACCAAGAAGAGGTACGCTACACCTGGAGAACAAGAAGAAATAAATAACAGCAAAAGTACCCCTGCCTTTCCTCCCCTGCTCCGCTCCTCCCTTTCTGTCCCCTTCCAAAAAGCACAATGTGACTTTGGGACGAGGAAAGCAACTGAGGGAGGAAGGCTCCAGTAGTGGTGACTCACGCTCTCCTTACTGCCCTCTCTCTCTCTCTCTCTCTCTCTCTCTCTCTCTCTCTCTCTCTCTCTCTCTCTGCCTCCTCCCGGAACGCACAGAACGCAACTAACCGGGACCAATTGAAGGAGCTGCTGGGATACCCAGTCATGACGACCATGGCTCTTTTTGATTCGTTCCCTTCCTTCCTTAACCCTTCCGAAACACAACTGGGGCCAACCAAGGGAGCTGCGGAGGAAACCTAGTCATGATGTCCATGGCTCTCCCTGATTAGCTTCTCCCTCTTCCTCCTTTCCTATCCCTTGTCCCCTTTCCCATCTTCTTCCTCCTCCCACTTCACCCCATTTTCTCTCCCCCCCTCTTCAGAACACAATGAACGTGACGCGGTGGCTGCTAGACGAGCTGCAGCTGACAGAGGAGGACACAGTGATGGTAAAGATGGACATAGAGGGGGCGGAGTGGGCTGTGCTGCTTGAGTGACCCCCCCTCAATCAACCCCCCTTCTCCTCCCGTCCTCATCTCGTTCTCTCCCCACAGAGCATGGTGAACGTGACGCGATGGCTGTTGGACGAGCTGCAACTAACAGAAGACGACACGGTGATAGTGAAGATGGACATAGAGGGGGCGGAGTGGGCTGTGCTGCACGAGTGGCTGGCCATCCCTCACATGCCCGCCATCGTGGACGAGCTCTTTGTGGAGGTGCACTACCACCACCCCTCCATGCACGCCTTCACGTGGACGCCAGACAAGTTCAACCGCACTCTAGATGAGACAACACGGTTGTTGACTGACTTGAGAAGAGCCGGGTTTTACGTTCACCCTTGGCCTTAGAATGTGTGTGCAACAACCCTAACAGATACAATTGTGGTTTGATTGGTAGTTTTGCGTGTTGATACCAGGAAGGTGTAGCTTCTACATGCTGGGAAGGTGGGAGTAAACAGGTTGCTTGTGGAGGTGCACTACCACCACCCCTCCATGCACACCTTCACGTGGACGCCAGACAAGTTCAACCACACGCTTGATGATACCACATGGTTGTTGACTGACTTGAGAAGTGCCGGGTTTTATGTTCACCCTTGGCCGTAGATTGTGTGTGTGATGGGCCTAACAGATACAGTGTGCGGTATTGGTTGGTAGCTTTGCGTGTTGATACCAGGAAGGCGTAGCTTCTGTTGGAAACAATAAGTCCTAAGTGCGCTTCTGTCGTATCAAAATCCAAGGTACCAAGCGAAGCAGTCCCAATCGAAGCATCGAGTCAACCTCGGAGGTTAGGGTAACCGCCTGGAGGTTACGAGAAAGTCAAAGGTCGCTGACCTTTGACTCGACAATTACAGCGCGACAGTTAAGGACACACAACTGACTCGTTACAGAGCAGTTGCCCGAGTCGCGCTATATCGAACCGCAACAGCAATAGAGTTATCTATCTATTCCCTGTACTCTTATATAAATCCTTGTATTTGCTTGTTTAATTCAATCAACTTTGCTCTCACACACCAGTGCAAGGTCGGTTCAAATTCTTCACTAAACGCTTCCGCTATTACAACTACTTCACCTAGAGTTATCCCTTGCAAAGATCCTAAGGGGCTATCTCCGCCCAACATGGTATGAGAGCAGACAAGGGAAACCCTACTCTCTCTTCAAGATCATTACAAGACATGGCAACAAACAAGGAAAGGAGCTCCCCTAATGGCTCCTCGGGCACTACTCCTACTCCACCGCCAGCCTCTGGCCTGCAGACAGAAGAAGGCACGGCAACAAGACCAAGAGGAACATCAACCGAGACCCCCATGAACCACCCTTCGGACTTTGACCAGAACATGATGGAGAAAATTTTCTCCTTCATGTCCTTCTACGAACAACACCAGCAGTCGGGACCTGCACAAACACACAACAGCAACAACGGAGCGACACCCATGAGTCTTGATGGGTCGTCATATGCGCGAGGAAACCAGCAGCAGCAACCTACCTTTGCTCCGTACGAGCGCGGGTCAATCAGCTTCGTGCCCCACCCGCAACCTTCACCTGGACAAGAAAGACCACTGGACGCACTTCAAGTTCAGTCGCAGTTTGCACACGTCTTAAAACTGCAAACGTCAAGACCCTTCGACGGCAAAGACTTCTTTACCTGGTCCTTTGAATTCGAGCTGATGATGGAGGGCGCGCAGATACTCGGCTTCTTCGACGGGTCCCTGCAGTATCCAGCCAACGGGACACAATATGAAAAGCAGCAGTATACGTATCAATCAATGATGGCGTATACAATCCTATTGAGGAACGTGACACCAACTCAGCAGCAGAACATTCGCTCTTACCGGACCTTCGGCAACTCGGCGGAGCTCGCGTACAGCCATCTGAAGAACCTGTATCAAGCAACAGACAGTGTAAACCAGAGCAGGTTAATGGCGCAATTGACGACGGTCGAAATGAAACCAGGAGAAAAAGGACTGGCGTATATCAGCCGATGTCGCGAACTGCGCGACAAGCTGCTTCGATGCGGAGGGTCAATCTCTGAAGACGCCTTCGTGACAGTCATCATTGGTGGGCTTGGTCCTCAGTGGCGCGCCACCAAAGCCATTCTTCGAGCCCACGGAAGAATCTCTGAAGCTGCACTCTGCGCCGAAATACATGCCGAGCAGCAAGATATGGACCTGCAGGAAGAACGACACAGGAAGAAAACGACAGTATCAGAGTTCGCATTCCACACTCAACGACGACACAGCAATTATAACAACCGACAGCAGCAACCGAAGATAGTACCTCCCTTCTGCCACATCTGCAAGACTTCAGGGCACCCGCGCACACACTGCCCGAATCGTCAGCAATCAACGGCACCACAGCGACAACTTCGACCTTCAAGCTCCCAAATGGCTTCAACACAAGCAAGAGCGACAACCACTATTCAAGCTTCAACGACTTCACCCGGACAACCTGCACAAGGAGCAAGAAATATAATCAACTGCATGACGAAGATAACCGATTCGTGTACAACCGAATCACCACCACACTACTCACCGGAAGAAGAGCTTGACAACAGAACACCTCGCCGTGAGCTACTCCAGCCGAATCCAACGTACGCCGCCATCGCTCAAAGTGAACCGTCCGGCCAAGACACCTGGTTCTTGGACAGTTGCTGCGGGCAACACATGTGCTCGTCCGGGCGTTTCGTACAACGCGAACATCGACTCCAACGGGAAGTGATCATCACGGTTGCCAACAACCAAAACCTGCGCACACGAAGACAAGGAGTGGTACAGCTTCAGTCAAGAGAAACAAATGTCATACTGCACATGTCTAAGGTACTCATCGCTGAAGGACTCGGCTACAACTTACTGAGCGTTAGCCAGTTGATGGCGAAAGGAATTCATCTGGAAGCCGACAGCACGACCCAGGAGTTCAAGCTTTACCACGGGAGAGGCGGTCTCTACATCGGGAAAGCAGTGCTGAAGAACAACGTCTTCGTCCTCGACTTCGTTCCTGACCTCGGCACTGCAGACAGCGACGCCATCGTGAATTTCACTGACTGGACACACCCTCCGGATCTCGACCCCGACTTCAGCCCGGGAGGCTTCTGGTACTCGCACACCATTCCTGAAGCAGAACGAACACGAGCATTAGCAACAATTCGACAATCGGCAGCAGTAACAACATCGGCAGCAGCAACAACATCAGCAGCAGCAGAAACAACGACACCAGTCACAGTCGACGAAGCACCACCAACACCCGCGCAACAGCTGAATCCGACTCAACGTGAAGTCCACCGAAGCGACAACCTCGTCACCAGCTTTTACTCCAACTCCGACGCATATCAGCGTTCACCTGGACACCGCGCCTCTGAAGAGATCTGGCACGCACGCACAGGACATCCAAGCAACACGGTTTTGAATAACACGATAAGAGCAGGAGTCCTCGACAAAGACTCTCTACTCCTACCCGATGGCAGAGAACTCCAGAAGGCACGAGGGACTTGCCTTATATGTCCCGAAGCTGACTTACCTCATCGACCGTTTGCTTCACGTCACAACCCGAGCGCTCCAGCGTACGCACCACTCGAAAAAGTCTACAGCGACATCCTCTACAATCGCGAACCAGGACAAGTCAACTACAACTACACCATCACCTTCATCGACGCCGCCACTCGATACGTCTGGCATCGCAACCTACCCAGCCGCGACATGGCGCTCGCAGCATTCGCCGCCTGGCTACCGATAGCAGAGAGAGAGTCTGGAACACAACTAAAAAATTTCCAGTCAGACGGAGGTGGCGAGTACACCTCTCAGCGCTTCAAGCAGTTCTTGGCGGAAAGGGGGATCAAGCAACTCCTCTCCCTTCCCTACGCACATCAGCAGCAAGGTGTTGCAGAACGACTGAACAGGACCCTGCAGAACAGCATGCGCAAACTGTTACGTGGCATGCGACTACCCAACCACCAGTGGCCAGCAGCAATGGACCACGCTGTCATGCTGCACAACTTGTTGTCGTCGTCGTCACTCCCGAACAACGCATCATCGCATCTGCTGTGGACAGGGAAGCAGGGCAGCACGAAAATGTTACGAGTTTTCGGGTGCATGGTACAGTACAGACCCCCAGAAGCACGAGCGGGAAGATTTTCGCAACGGGCACAGTGGGGACTACACCTCGGCATCGAGAAAAATTACAACGCATGGAGAATCTTCGACGTCCACACAAAGGAAACAGTAGCAGCACGTGACGTGATCTTCTACGAAAGACTCACCCTTCAGACGTACCTCGCCAACTTGCACGAGAATCGGGACCTCACCAGTGGTTTTCGTGGTGACCGAGCCTTCGCGTCAGCAGCGGATGAAGCAGACTGGGACGAGCAGAATGTTGACAACGCATCGGCAGAAGCCGGACCTCTCCCGTACTGCTCCGTCAACGTGCCCATGGACGAAGAAAATCCTCGCGACAGTAACAACGCCGAAGTCTTCTACCACTTCGCCGATACCGGTTACGTAACACCTGCAACCGTCAACACAAATGAAGCAGAAAGGATAGGACCGAATTTCATCCCTGATCCAGAAGCGGGAGACGAAGCAGCTTATCCCGAGGATCCAGAACTCCCTCGATACTCACAGACTGGGCTGCAAATCCTCGGCCTCGTCACCGCAGTCGACGGGAACACACGCAGCTCGCTTCCTAAGGAGCCTGCAACGGTTCAGCAGGCTCTGGGGGGGGAACACAGGGAGAAATGGCGTGAAGCCATGGATAGAGAACTGAAGGCATTAGAGGAACGCAACACTTGGAAGGTTGTTCCCGTAAGCGTGGCACGGAACAAAACCATCCTTACCGGGAAATGGGTCTTCCGCATCAAGACGAAAGCAGACGGCACGATCGAAAAATTCAAAGCACGCTGGGTCGTACGTGGATTCGACCAAGAGCAAGGACGAGACTTCACCGAGACCTTTGCTCCAGTCAGCCGCCACACGTCACTCCGAATTCTCCTCGCCATTGCCGCCATGAAGAAGAAGAAGTTACGGCAGATCGACGTCGCGAATGCCTTCCTCTACGCACCTGTGGATGCAGAAATCTACGTCGAGCTCCCGCACGGTTCCCACGGCGAACCCAACCGAATCTGTCAACTACTTAAGTCGCTCTACGGGATCAAACAGGCACCGCGACTGTGGCAGCAGTACCTGCACGCCCGTCTCATCCGCATCGACTTTAGTCAACTACCTCACGACCAAGGCATGTACCGCCTCACTAAGGGAAGCGACTACGTTCTCCTGATCGTCTACGTGGACGATCTCCTCTACATTGGGTCAACCGACGGCATCGCCACGTGGTTCGAAGGAGAGCTCCAGAAAGACCTCACG